CCAAACTATCGGCCAGCTATCGATTAGATGATTGCTTGATGATATTTGGTTTATATTTTTGATTTTGACCAGTGTTGCTAGATAGGCTTTGTTGAATCAAAGGGGTGGTTCTATTATCAAATTCTGCTACTGTATCATTACATGATAGAACCCGGCTATAGTCTTAGTGCTATCGTAGCAGGTGAGGGGGCCGGTTTCAGTACGAACAGTTTGGTCGAAAATAGCTATGGTATGCATGATGTTAGTTCAAAAAGTTATACTATCTCTATAAAATCTGGAAATATTTAAAATATTTTTTTGATGGATGTAAAAAAGGCACAATAGCGAACTTGATTATCAAATTATAGAATGAAGACACCTGAATATGCATCTAAAAGTGTAGGCTTCTGTGTAATTTATTATATAAATAATGGGTGGTAGTTAGATTGTATAGTATATAAGCCTTCTGCCGATATTTCTAGAGAAATATAAATATATATATATATTTATCGGCAGATGGCTTCATCTTAAAAGTATGTACCTGATCAGAACTTTGGGCAAAAGAACTTGATATCCAAGCTGGCATATAAGTAGTCTGAAACTGGAGAACTAATAGAACCTTTTTGGTTCTCTACCAGTTTTCTGCTAGTATCATAATAGTTCTAGATACTATCGGTCTACTACTATGGTGCCAAGTTGGGATTCTCAAATCATGTGTTCTAAAGATCGGCCAGAATTATAGCATAATCTCAGCTGAAGGGATCCAAATGAGTATCTGAAAGTGGAGCCTTCTGCATAATTATATTATATAAAAATGGCAGAAGGCCCCACTTTTTCTGGATATATACTCGGGTATGATATAGCCTTCTTCAGAATCTATATATAAAATAATAAAAGAAGGCTACACTTTCCTAGATATGTACTCAGGTATGGGGCTTCTTCAGAATCATTATATAAAATATTGGAAAAAACCCCATCTTTCCTAGATACGTACTCAGGTATGATATGAAGCCTTCTGCAGAATCATTATATAAAATATTGTGGCAGAAGGCTTCACCTAGATATGTACTTAGGTATATGTGGATACTTAGGGTAGGTAAGTACCCAGGACTTATGGCACAGTAAATTATGATAATTTCAACCAGCACTATTCTATAATTTTGGTCGCAAAATAACTTGGCATCCAAGCTGGCATAGAAGTGACATAAAACTAGCAAACTAATAGAAATCTCTGGCACCTTAATAGTTCTATGACAGTTACATGACACTACTATGGCATTATCATAGCACCAAGCTGGAACCTTAAATTATATGCCAAAAAGATCAGCCAGAATTATGGTATAGTGTTGGCCGAAATTAATCACAAATTTAAGCACCACCCGATGCAATATTTTTTTTGTATTTGACAGGCAACAAAATAGGTACAAAAAGTAAGTACCTCAATATAGAATCAAGTACCCAGACTGGCACAGAGGGCCAGCACCCCAACATAGAACCAGGTATCCAAACAAGTATAAAAGACCAGTATGAACAATATAGAATTTGACGTATAAATAGATTAAGAACAAGAAGGAAATAGCAGTATTTAAATCACATGCTAGTAGTTAGATTAAATAGTGGGTAGTAGTTAGATCATATGGTGTTAAAATATAAATATCAGAAAGAGTTCAAA